AACAGGACCCCAGGGTTAGAAAGACCCCCCTAGGACCCTGCCCAGGATTGTCGCCAGTGGCCCTGCCCCTGCTGCCGGGGCTGGTGGCACTGCCCTCTGACTCACACCCTTCCCATCCTGAAGGCCTGTGAAGGCCTGAAGATCACCACCGCCCTCCAGGGGAGGAGCCAGGGGCTCAGAGAGGGGCAGCGACCCTCTGGACGTGCAGTGGGTCTGGGTCTGGCAGCCACTTCTAACCACAGAGCTCGTGCAGGTGACACAATCCACGACACCTTCCTCCTGGCTCCCTCATGGCCACACGGACGCCACCCCACCTCCAGCCCCCACAGTCGGGGTGCGGACCAAGGAGCCGACTCCTGGGCTCCCTGCAGGCAGACCCGTGCCTTCTCCGAGGACGACTTTGACCTTGTTTGCTGGTCAGCGCGGCTCCCGGAAAGGGGACGGAAGGGGAGTGGGCCTTGGGGTGAGCAGCTGGTGGGTACGCATGACCCCTCCTGTGCACCTGGCCTTGGGGGACTGTGCGGAAACCACAGACACCAGGGGGACCGGTGGCTCTGGGGCTGCCGGGAGCAGCGGCGTGTGCAGCAGGGACCTGGAAGCTGTGGCTGAGACTGTCATCAGGGACATAGGTTCCCGCTGGGGACAAGGGGCTGCTAAGGCCAGCAGCTCCCAGGCCTGGCACCTGGCGGTCACTGGGGTGGGGGTGGGGACAGAAGAGCTCGGCCTTCTGGGGGGACAATCGCCTGAGAGGCCTGCGGCCCGTGCTGGCGGGCGTGTCATGGGCACTGCGGGCTCCGACCCCTTCACCAGCCGTGTGACACTGAGCAGAGTCACCACCGCTCTGAGCCCCGGCTTCCTGTCTGCAGTCGGGACGGCCACCCTGCATCATCAGGGTGCTGTACGTGAGCTAGCCCGGTGGTGGGGGCTCCACGCCCTGTGCTCCACGCACCGTGGCTCCCACATACCTGCGGAGGCGTGTGGTCCCGGGGCCCCGTTGGGGTGGGGAGGTGTCTGCCAGCCTGGGTGTCCGCCGGCCTCCGGCGCCTCCTCCCCGGGCAGGAGCAGCCACTCGTCCTGGACACGGCCCCAGGCGTCCTTCAGGAAGACACGGAATCAAGAGCTGAGTGTCCATCCAAGCCGGTCCCCGTGCATCCCTCCCAACGGATGCGTTGGGAACCCAGGGGGCTCAGGGAGCAGAGGCCCACGGCCTGGCCTCGTCTGCAGCCGGCCCAGACCCCGCCGCAGGCTTTCGTTCTCCTCCTCCAGCTCGGAGATCTTGCGGTAGCTCCTCGCGTTGCAGTCTTCCAGGTCGGCGATGAGCTGCAGGTACTGGTCCAGCTCCCTCCGCAGGTGGGAGATGTCGCCCCGCAGCGCGCTGTTGTCCCGCTCGAGCCCGGACACTTTGCTCGCCTGCCGCTCGCTCTGCGTCCGGAGGGCCCGGATCTTTCGATGGCATCTCTCTTGGTCTCGCTGAAGTCGGACGTTGTCGTGTAAAACTCTGCTTCTCTCCTCCTTCAGTCCGGAGACGAGCTGACGAAACCGCCTCCTGGCTCTCTCTAGGGCTCTTGGCGGCGGACGGGGGCTCTGGCCCAGCTCCGAGGGCCCCCCTGGGCCGGGGCACAGGTCCCCCAAATCAGGCCCCACCCCTGGGAGAACTTGGCCGGTTCCCAGGGCCTTGGTTTCTCCCGGCCTAACGTCGTCACGACTCTCCTTGGGGCCTGCTTCCTTCGCAAGACACGTCTCCAAAACCTCGGCGTGCTCCGGGCCACCGCGCCCTCTCCCGGCAAAGCTCCCGTCCTCCTCCGCCAGCG